GAAAAGTCTACGAATTAATTTCCATGATTGTCTATAAAAGTACGGCACTTAGTCATTTTCGACCCGAAACAAAGGTTACTATATTATAATACCTGATTCTCTTTTTGACTGAAATTACTTTATTCACCATGTGCAAGGTTGCTGTGTATTTTTTTTGGGGGTGGGGGGGCATCAGGGGGGTGTGGGCAAGCTGTTTAGCGACGGGATACCTCAAAGCATTTAATTTTGACCGTTTCAATATGTTAAGTAAGTTATGACATAAAGTTTGCCTATGAATTCCTTGAAATATATTTGAAGTTTACATATACATCGAACCGTACTAATTTATTTAAATAAACGTTGCTGCTACAGCTAAATTATATCCGAAATTTCATTGCATTTATGCGGTTGAAGTTTGTGTGGTAATAATAATCTGCATAACAAGACATGCAATTTTTTTATGAATATATCTTATTATGGGAAGTGTAATGCTGCCCTATTTGTTGATGTCAACTGTAACAGCAGTGACGTACAGAGACCATAGCGACCCAAAGGAGGATCGAGGGAGGTGGGGGTGTTCCTCTACAGCCTCTTCGCCTTACCAACCAACTCTATTTTACCAACTTATTTGCCAACAGGTCACAGTTTTCCCTACATAATCTCCATTTTACCGACAAGCTTTTGAAGAAGTTGGGGGGGGGGGAGGGTCACACTCCAACATAACCCGCTCGGCAACCCTTGTGTAACAGAGTAGTGCTTATTTCGTTGTAACAGTAAATTGTTATAATTATCATAGAAGGAAGAGTGTGAGATATGATATAAACAAATTTTAAATAGAGACTGCACATGTTACCACATGTTACTGTACATGTTACTGCACATGTTACTATGTATTTATTATATTTTACCATATAATTTGAACAGGTTACTGATGTTTTTTTATAATTATTAAAGTATGTATACTTATATAATGTACAGGAATAACAGATAGCAATATGTTGAAAATTTCAACATGTTACTACATGTTACTGCTGTTTTTTATATAAAGTATATACTTCTATTTTTATAGAAAACAGCAGTAACATGTAGTAACTTGTTGAAATTATGTAGTAAAATATAATAAATTGATTGTAACATGTGCAGTAGCATGTACAGTAACACGTGGTAACATACGAAGAACTTATTTAAATAATTATATGGTAAAAAATGTAGTACACTTATAGTAACATGAACAGTAACATGTAGTAACATGCAGTAACTTGTCCTATATGTAATATATAGAGGTTAATGAAATAGTCATTGCAATCAGTCACGTCTCGTACCTCCAACATTTCGGTTGACGGACAAAAATTTGAATCTCCCTCATAAAATAGACGACAATGCGTTAGTTATTAACTTTTAATTATTAACTTTCAAATATTATTTACGTCAGTCATTACGCAGAATTACGTTTTGTAAATACAGGCTAATTGATGCAGCAGTGGATCATATATTAAATTTTTCGTTAAAATCTTGGGTATATGCTTGAAAGAGTCTTTATTACCCAACGAACTATTACATTATTTGAAGAGATTTTCCGTTGAAGTAAAAGCAGACAGTGTATGATGTAAGTTTCTTGATTATCTTTCTGTACTATGAACTGTTATAAAGTAAACTCATAAATATTCAATATAACATGTAGAATCTGCCATGCTTTAGAGCTTTACTGAGAATTTATACACCGCTTCTCCAAATATCCCCGCGCGATTTTTGTCTTTAAATTTAGACAATCATGGAAATAATATCCGTAGACTTTTTTAAAACGCATCTTGCCTTACTATTTTGTAAAGCCATTTTATTTTTAGTTAATACAAACGTCCATGATCGCTAGAAATAGTAACTCCCCCCCTCCCCCTACCACAATGTTGGTTCAAACCATGGTTATCGGACCACAAACCAACATTGTAAACGGGGAGGGGGGGAAATTGGTAGATTTTTGAAAAGTCTACGAATTAATTTCCATGATTGTGAATCTAGAACCGCGAAAAAAAACTAGAAAGGACTTTGGGAAAGTCTAATCTGAATCTAACGTTCCAGTTATATTCATTTCACGTGACAAGGTCAACCCAAGGATGGCAAATCTTCTTTCTTCTTATATCTTCTTATATTATTATAAGAAGATTTTATTATTTGACAAAATTTCTTCTTATATCTTCTATCTATCAGTAATATAAAAATAGAGTTGTTTATATAAAAAATAAAAAATTGTTAGTTGTTCACCAATAGATTTGTGACACTTCAATACTTCATGCAAATATCATACAAATCACCAAAATGATGTCATATTACGACTCATTTTTGCTTGAATGTCGAAAATCTTCCTATATTCCCTTAAATCTTCTTATATTGAATATAAGAATTTAAGAAGTTTTTTTCTGAAGAAAAATTTCTTATATCCATTCCTTGGTCAACCGGATAATGCAACCTAAATGTTATTAGTCTTCATCTGAATCTGATCCACACAAAAGCGCAAACTTATTTCCTTTCAAGACCTCGGAACTTTTATTCTTTGTCTCATTTTCTTGTTCCAACGTCCTGCCTCCTTTATTCTGTTGTCTCTTGTTGCTTCGTGATTGGTTGAACTGGCAGTCACGTGGTAAGTCTGTAGTAATTACGTCATAAAGGTGACGATATAAGTTCGTGTTGATCACGATAGATTCGGCAAACTTGATACCTAGAAATTGTCAGGTGTAATTTACAAATATTAATATAAGGAAAATACCAGCTAATTAAACCCAGCCTGTCGTTATCAGACAGTTCTAAACTGTTCTCCCTAGAAGTCAAGTAGAGGTAATCTGGAAACCTAAACTATATAACCTTCATATTTATAGGACAGCTCTATAAATTCTGAACTTTTAACTTCCTAGAGGTCAAGTAGAGGTTATCTGGAAACCTAAACTAAACTAACCTTATACTGGACAGCTCTATATGTTCTGAACTTTTCTTCCTAGAGGTCAAGTAGACGTCATCTGGAATCCTAAACTATAAGCTAACTTTATTGATAGTGGATAGCTCTATCAGTTCCGAACTGTTCTCTCTATAGTATAGGGTCAAGTACAGGTCATCTGGAAACCTAAACTAATCTTATTTATAGTGGATAGCTCTATCAGTTCTGAACTGTTCTCTCTATAGTATAGGGTCAAGTACAGGTCATCTGGAAACCTAAACTAATCTTATTTATAGAGGATAGCTCTATCAGTTCTGAACTGTTCTCCCTGGAGGTCCACCTGGAAACCTAAACTAACTTTATTGACACATGAATAGATCACACAAATCCTTTGTGGCCAAAATGGGTGACGGAAAGTGCGGTTTCTGGAGGTAAAGGCCCCCAGAAAAGCTGGAGAAACAACATCAGGGTGAGAGTAAGGGCCCTATATACTCAATAGTTCTATAACTTCTAATATAATTTTTCTTCTCAGAGGTCAAGTGAAGGCCATCTGGAAACCTAAACTAAACTAACCAGACAAGCTGAAACGTTTTCTTGACCTAGATAGCTCTATCAGTTCTGTCTTAACGGTTCCCCGACCAAATTACTCTTCTAACAAGGAATTAACTAAGGCAACATTGATCATATTATGCAGCAATACTAACCTAAGACTCGAAGTCTTTCATACACCAAGCACACTTGAGCACCATCATACAACTTGGCTATTTGCAGTTGTGGAAATGCGGAAGAAAACAACGCGTTCAACCGTTCTACCCAGTACAGAACGTTTTGCCATTGTGAAAAACCATGAACTGCCTCTAAGGAAATTTGGAAAGACTTGCTTGTAGTCGAACTCCGTTTTTCACCAACATAATACACTAATAATGCAGCTAGGTGCGCTGGTTTGATTTGGGAGTGAATAACCCAATATCTCAATGCCGATACCACAATCTGGTGTTTGATTGGGAGATTACGAATAAATGGTAAGTCGGAATCGAGCAAGCTTAGAAGGTGACTATTTTTGGCCTCATCAGACATTTTTGGTATGTCATGAATTTGGAAATCGATTTCAGGGACTTTGCGTGTTAGATTCACTGTTTTCTGAACAAGTCTCAACCCTTCCCTATCAAGTTCTGTAACAACGATATCTTCGGTGGTGGCTTGGGATGTACTATCAGTTTTGTCAAACTTTACATCTTTGATGGTATGGTCACAGGTTGATGGCAATCCAATTTCCTCGCTTTTCACTGTATTTTCATTGAGATTGAATTTATGGGCAAACTCTAATTCTAGTATGCTATGGGTGTGGTCAGAATCTTTGATTTGTTCGGTATGACTAGTTGATGGTGTTGTATCATAATGGGTAGTTTTGCACTCCTCCTGGGACTCTGATTGGCCAGTCACCATGTTCGGTATACTATCTTCACCTTGTTCCTGTAATTCTGCTAATGGTGACGAAACACAACACTTAGTTTCCCTCTGTGCCTCAGGTGTTGGCCTGCTTGTATGGGTGTGGTCATAGTCTGTCCCTGGTTCAGTTTGAACAGTAATCATACTTGGTATACCAGCTTTGCCCGATTGGTTTTGTAACATTGTCCCTGACACTGCTAATGGTGATGATGATGTATCATTAAAACTTTTGGTATCCATATGTGTCTGGGTCTCTGGTGAAAACCCTCGCGTAAGGGTGTGGTCAAAATCTCTGCCCAGTTCAATTTGACCATCAGTTACCATGCTTGCTACACCAGCCTTGCTTTGTGACTGTAACTCTGTTGCCGATACTACTGTACTGGTGGTACCTTCACAGTTCAAAGCCAGCACATAATAGTACCATCTAAGGCCTTGAGCACAAATCTGCGCAGACGGCAATGCTATATCTTCGCACTGTGTTCGAAGAAAAATCTTTCTGTTACACAAACAAGCTAAACCCTCAGAGGCAATCAAACCTTGTCGATAAAGTTTAACAACCCATTGTGGCAGAGAATGACCATTATATGTACGCATGTTACAACTAAGATCACTAGAATCAAAATAGCCAATCAAATTGCTTTGTTTCATTTGGTATTCTTCAATGGATAGATCCAATGCTTTCTTAAATGACACCTTAAGGTTGTTTGGAAACAAGCCTATCACAGCATGAATTGCTTCAGAAATGGACTTATAGCTTGACAAAAACTGTGCGATAGTTGGAACCTTGCACTTTTTGCTGCCAGCTTCTAGCTTTGATGAGCTTACAAGACTGTCAATATGAGCAGTGAATGGCCTTAACATTATATCAGAGATGTAGTCATTTCCAACCAGTGAGGCAAGTAGCGGTGACATGCTAGGGTCGATGCCAAGATGTTTGGCAAACCCATCGAAACTGAATTTTCTAACTGTGGTGTTTGGACAAGAGAAATCATACTGTTGAAATGGAATGTAGCCACGTTTGATGTTGAATATGTAAAAATCGCTGTCACTGGCCAACACTGGAGCATCCAGTTTGTTTGCTAACGATGCAATTTCACAGTCCGCTTCACTGAAACATTATAAATGGAAAGGAGTGAGGAAAACAATATGATACTGACTGTATATGCTTAAATTAATTAAGAGATTTAATTGTGATAATTTGCTCGTATGGCACTGGTATTAAGGCACATTGCCACTTAATAGGTAAATGAGTGTATATATACACTAAAGGTGTAAGGAATGATTTTATACCAATATAGCCTTGACTATAGTCTTGTTTGCAAACGTTCTTATTACTCCAAACCTTGGTAACAAATGTTTGTCAGCATGACTGTGTATCGGTTGGAACAAATGTTAACAAGGGTTGGAGGTATAGTTTGGAATGAACATTCATTGGCGAGGGTTGGAGTGATAAGAACGTCTTTGAGGGAGACTAAGCCTCAATAAATTTGCATGAAATGGAAGCAAAAAAGTTTCAAGAACCAGAATTTAGGGAAATGTGGTAATGCGTTGGAAACTTAAATCCCCCCCCCCTAAACGTGCAAGTGTCTGCCACCAAGTTTTACAATGCTTACAAGTCTGCCACAGCATACGGCACTTTGATTTCTTGCAAAACTTGCACAATAGCTAACTGTGTGAGGCGTGGAAGCACCATTTCATAACCAGGTTTTCTTAACGTCCACAAGTTCTTCATCTTCTTAATTCGGTCTGTCTTTCTCTTCATGAACGTGGCAAACTTTTTCTCGTCCCTAGCCATAATACCATCAATGACGACGTATGGCACAACATTGTTCAACCGCAGCTTTGAAAAAAATTCCTTTATTTTGTTTTGCAATTGGTCATATTGCCCACCAAACTTAACGTTTAGTCCATTGCAAGCATATATGTAATAATATAAACCACAGCCGTCAATGACGAGGTTTGTGTCGTGCAAATTGAAGGGTTCCCAAACTTGCCCTTCGCCAAATGGCAAAGTGTCCACATATGTTGTCAGACCATGAATTCCCATTTGAAATTCCTAAAAAATGTTATTTAACGCATTGAGTTGCATTGCATCCTAACGCCTGAAGAGTAAAATCATCTGGTGTTAGACAGAGTAAAATAATAAAGTAGGGTGCATTGCCACTTAAAGGGTTAACAGGGTGCATGGGCAGATTGACCCATTGAGTGGCAGCACTCTCCCCCTGACAAGTAAAAAGTAAAATAAGCAAGGTGGGTACATAATGCTGGTCCATAATGTTAAGGTGGCTAAGCAATCAAGGTTACTGTAACAGTATATAAAATGTATTAAAAATGTATCAATCATATTTGGTAAAGTACATCCTTAATATAATACTATAAAATAAACACTTACTGTACTAGCTGAAAGTTGCAGTTATATTTGTTGCAGTTGACAAATTAGAGTTATTAATCATAAAATAAAACACTTTCGATTTCCGATGCCTGATTTCCGATATACAAATTTCGACCTTGGTTGTTGTGGGTACAAAAACCCGTGGGTGAACTTTATCGTATATACAAACATCAAACATGGCTAGCAAGATGCATGGTGTCAAAAAATGCAGTTCGTCTGTCGAAGTTCTGTCAGTTCTCCGAGATTTCCGTCGCACAAAGAAATTCTGTGACATCACTTTGAAATGGCATGTACTAAAAGGCGAAACGTCGAAACGAAACGACCGAAACGAAACGGCCGAAAATATAAATTACAGGAATGGTTAGGATGAAACGCGGATACGGACGGACGGATGGACGGACGGATGGGGGGAACAGGCAGATTGACGGGGGGACAGGCGGATGGACGGGGGAGAGGCGGTTGGACGGGGGAGGGACAGGCGGATGGACGGGGGACAGGCGGATGGACGGGGGGACGGCTTCATTTGTCACGAAACTCAATTTTATGAATCAAATCCGCGTTTTGTTGAAAGGGATATATTAGGATATATTATAAAAGACTATTATTAATCGTAATAAATTGTCGAAAAATTGATAAAATACATGTGGAAATGCGGGGTTTTTCGAACCTTCGTAACGCTTGATATAAGGATAAAACGCGGATATGCTGCAACTTTCATGCTTAATTTTCTCTGTTATCTGGGTATGTAGTAATCTAATTTTATGCAATGTAATGTGCTATATTTTCAAGGGCTTTTCAATGCAGTTATCGGTTTAAATATACCTAAAATTCCCGTTAAGATATGACAATTGCCGTACGGCCTACTTTTACGCAAACGAAAATTAGCTACAATTGCCACTTTCATGCTTAATTTTCTCTGTTATCTGGGCATGTAGTAATGTAATTTTATGCCAATGTAATGTGCTGATGAAATGTGCAGTTGTAATTTTCGTTTGCGTAAAAGTAGGCCGTACGGCAATTGTCATATCTTAACGGGAATTTTAGGTATATTTAAACCGATAACTGCATTGAAAAATCCTTGTAAAAACAGCACATTACATTGCATAAAATTAGATTACTACATACCCAGATAACAGAGATTATTATACATTGTAGTTGGTAAAAGCAATTTGATTGGCTAAGAGCTTACAGTTAAATCGCGCAATCACGCAACCTACACAAAATTCAGTTATCTGCTAGCAGATAACTGCTAGCAGATAACTGAATTTTGTGTAGTTTGCGTGAAATTGAATGAGTGTACATTTCAAATGAGTGTACATTTCAATTTTCAAATGAATGTACATTTCATAATTGTAATGTTTACTTTAACAAGTAAATATTTTAATACGTTAACATCTTAACGATAATATGTTTCTTTTATATTTGTAATTAATTTAACTGTTGGACTTCTGGAGACTTGTTTATAGAAACGTTTTACTTGAACAGCTTTGCCAGAAATCATATTGAATATAGGCTAACGCTTACCGAGACCTTGATAATTTTGCATATCGCAAAAACCGAATTCAATAATAATAAAACAATTATTGAATTCGGTTTTTGTGATATACAAAATTATCAAGGTCTCGGTAAGCGTTATCAGCCTCGCCTTCGGCTCGGCTGATAATAATTCCGCATATCACAAAAACCTCATCCAATAATTGTTAAAAATTAAGCATGAAATTTTTGCAATTGTAGCTAAATTAAATTTTCGTTTGCGTAAAAGTAGGCCGTACGGCAATTGTCATATCTTAACGGGAATTTTAGGTATATTTAAACCGATAACTGCATTGAAAATCCCTTGAAAATATAGCACATTACATTGCATAAAATTAGATTACTACATACCCAGATAACAGAGAAAATTAAGCATGAAAGTTGCAGCATATCCGCGTTTTATCCTTATTTCAAGCGTTACGAAGGTTCGAAAAACCCCGCATTTCCACATGTATTTTATCAATTTTTCGACAATTTATTACGATTAATAATAGTCTTTTATAATATATCCTAATATATCATTTTCAACAAAACGCGGACACGCGGATTTGATTCATGAATGAAGCCGTCC